CGAGCATCAACCACGGACTCATTGGGCACGGGGATTCTTATGTCACATACGGCCATAACCCCGAACTCTTTAGTAACTTTTATAATTACATGTTCTTTATATTTGGTCGTTTCTCTAGGATAGGTCAGGGTTGTCTCGACCTCAGGGTGCGAGCTAAGTAAGGAGAACTGCTACAGGAATAAGGGTTGCACCTACATTCTCGGGGCTCTTAGTGGTCAAGCTCCTAGAAGACTGACTACTACTATGGCTCGACCCATCACTACTACTACTCTACATTACACTACTTACAAGATAAATACTTAAAAGCTCGAACACTTACCTCTTAAGGTGGTCACACACAAAACCCTCTAAACCCTAACCTCGAACTGCTTTCACTGAGAGTTGAGAGTGAAAAAGAAAAAATGAGGGGTGAAAAAGGGGTATTTATAGGGTTAAGAGGAAGGTCAAAGGTCGTGTAATCCTAACCCTTGGATTATGCCATGCATCAGCCATCCAATGTCACTCTTTCCCTGCCCTACACGCATCAAACAAGTGTCAAGCACCTAGCTGTCATCCACGAACAGCCCATTAAGTTCGATCTTGGGTTGTTTTACTTCATTGCATCTCACCTCGCAGCTCGAGTACACAATTTTTTAGCTACGACCTAGATGCAAGGGGGCCTATGATGCGTCATAAATTATTAAGCTTGAGCTCGACCACATTCCCTGAACTTGGCAAGCTCCAATTATGCAGCTGTCAAGCTTGGGATTGATATTGAGGTCGGGCTTCAAGCACTTTTGTCCAGTCTCCTTGACCTTATCTCACATCTTCTAGTAACAGTAATCTTATTTGAATACAAACTCCCAACCTATTATAAAGTTGACTCTAACTCAAATTGTGCACAAACACCTTGTACAACAAGGATAATGACTACAAGAAGTTGGATCCTTTTAGGACTCCATCTCCAAACACCTATAAATACATGACTCAACCTCATTATTCAGGTACGTTTTTCATAATATTACATTCTTTTGACAATTTCTCTTTCTGACTTAGGTATCAGAGGGGCGACGAGCACACACTTTGACGCATTTGTTTCAGGTGTTGAAGACCGGATCGTGCGGAGTTTAGTCATCAAGTTCGAGTTCGTTCAGGTACGAGTTTTTGGTAGCATCAGAAATTATCAAAAAATGACACGATTTGTTGTTTGGTGCATGATAATCGTATAACCTATATTATTGCTCAAGAAAAAATATTTATGCAACGTATCCATTAGAACTGATATGATAATTGATTTTCAGTTGTGAACATAAATCTGGTTCTCATGTAGAATGTCGATTCCTATTAACTTCATATGTTGTGGAAATGTTCAAACAACGGATGTCTCTTGATGTTTGATGAAGCATGTCATAGTATATTAACATTCAAATAGATTGCAACCTTATAATGCAATTGCATTCTCCGGTCCAATTGCTGTTTTTGATTCAGTATTTCTGATTTATCTACTAGGTCAGTCTGGTACTCCGTAACATTATCAACGAATGATCTTCATAGCTTTTTTCGACTCCACATGAACACATACAAATTGACACTTCAACTCAATACATAACGTTGTACGGTGATGTGTGGATACACGTACTGGTCTAATGAACTGAATAAATGTGATAGCTTATAAACTGTGAAATACATTGTCAAATAAAAATATATACTTATAAAACATGAAAACTTGCAAAATAAATAAAAAATGTCCCAAAAGTAATAGACAAGTTTGGATTAGGCAAACATAACTTAACATTCCAAAAATTTTGTTCAATTTCCACTTCCAAAATAAAGAATTCTAAACAGTAGTCCACATAATCATTTTCGTGAAAACCAAATGTCAATAGTATTAAGAGTAAACACGATTATGTAATGCACGAGTTTGGAAACATTGTTACAAATAATAAACATACTTCTCAAAATCATGAAATATGGTTCAGCAGCCACAGCCACAGGAGTTCCCTCCTTTTTTGACTTCTAGACTTGTTCCAAATTCCTGCCCTTCCTCGCTTTTCTTGTGCTCCTCGGGATGAGATCGGCGTCTGTTTCATAGCCACCGGAGATCTTTTGGTTTTCACACTTATACAGTTGACAAACTAATTGGGTCCTAGCAATATTCGGAATAAACAGTTCTCACATTTCGTGTATCTTCTCATTGATGATGAACTCTGCAAACTTTCTCAAACACACTGCACTCTTGACTGCTCAAGGAATGTGGATAATGTCACAATTCAATTTATCAATATTTTGCAGTCAACACATGAAATTAAAAAAAATATTTTAGAAGCAATGTTCAATCTATAGCAGTACTCAAGTAAAGATTTAGCACCTAGAGTTTTCAAATAATCATAAAGTACAAAAATGAGCATAGAACTTGTTAGCCATCTTAAATCTACTACATGTGACATTGTGTCTTCAAGTGATATGCATGTTTTCTTGGGGGATAGGAAAATAAGTTGGGAAAAGCCGATACTTGAAATGTTTGCCAATATATTTGTTTTTTGACCGGGTAGATGAAAGAAGGCCATTTATCACTGTAGCGTGACGTAGTGTGGTACCAGGTGAGATAACGTGTATGGGGTGGAATTGTGCCTAATAAAAATACATACAAGCATAAATCTGTTTTCATGCTTGTGTGAAGGCGCATTTCGACATGATATGCCGAGGTTCTAATCTCTTCAACATTATTTTCTCTTTCAATTTCTAAACATGGTACATAATAGTTAAATATTAATTAATTGTGCCATTGTTCGTCATATTGTGCACTAAAGGTATGTGGTTCAATTCTTTACTTTTCTACTTTTTATTTAATTTTTCAATAT